CCAAGTACTATCTACAAATGGAGCTTCAGCCAGCAACACGTAGCTGTTTGTCTGTGGACCAGTGATGATTTATCAATGCCAAAAGCCTCTGACTATCAACAACTATGTGATTGGCTCCCAGGTGGTTGAATAGTTTTGGTTTGTGAACAAGATAATGAGAACCCATCAGATTTCTGCAAGCTTTGTTTCCTGCAGTAAAAATCACTTTAAGTCTGAAGAAAAGCTGTTTCTGTGAGCTGTGACTTTCAATGAATAAATCAGATACTTTTATAAGTGTAAAATAGTCATCCTGTGGCTCCTGCAAATACACAAAAGCATCTGGAGACGGAAGATCGAGAAGCCATGTTTTGGTCGGCAAGAATCATCTTAGTAGATCCTGTGAACACTGAACAGCCTTTTTCACTCTGATCATATTAAACCTATTCTTCCTCCTTCCTTAGCATCACTATCTTTCTTTGCCTGCTTCTATGATGTGAAAAGAAACAGCTTGTATTTATGCACTGCTTTTCACAAACTCATGATCAATGATTAGAATACAGCAAGTCTCTGTTTGCAAAAGATGGCTGTGAATGAGTTCTACTTGTGATCAATGGGACTGAATAATTTACAAACTTTATAGAAGATATAAATAATGTATTGTCCAAAAGCTAGAAAGCATCCCTGGACTGGTGAGATACTTCTGAGAATTTTTAAGTAATGAAAAATGTATGAAAATAGTATTTTTGGATAACGTTAATAAAGTTTACATATGTTGGTGAGATACCTAAGAACTGCAGGATAACAAAAGTTTTTCTGATATCGAAATAGGAGTCATCTGTGAATGTGACAATTACAGGCTGACGGTTGGACATGTGTTTGGAGAAAATAGTTGAGGAAATTTTGCCTAGTGCTTTAAATGAACATACAAGTGCAAAGGTTACATAGGCATAGATCAGGAAAATAATTGATTGTAGTTTGTAAATCTATAATATTTCTTAAAGGAAATAATTAAGCTCATGAAATTTTGGAGAAATGAACAAACATCCCTATACAACAACATGGAAAATATGACAAATTACATAGCTGGATTGAGAATTGTTTTATAGACAAATAACAGTGGCAATACATGGAAAATCCTGGAAAAATTAATCAGTAGAATTCCACAGGGAAACATTGTGGGATTGCCACTTTTCATAAATCATGAGATAGAACAGGGCATTGCTATTTGTAATATTAAGTGTCTCAAAATTGTCTTCAGAAAATAAAGAGAAAGAAGATTGGTTTGCATCTCTAAAGAAACCATCGACAGGTATGAAAGTTATCAAGAAAAAGAGCTTTCATTTACATAGTACCTTTCTCAACCTCAGGTGGTTCCAAATAAGTCTTCATATGATGAAATGGGTTCTAAAATGTAGTCCCTGCTGCAGTGTAGAAAACAGTCTTCCTTTTGTTCTGTCCTTCATACAGTAAAACAGTTTGATTTTTATATTGACAAAGCAATGTGCATGGGACAAGAAACAGAATGTGTGTAGAGCATGAAAGAGTCTTCATTGGTAGAAGCTCAAAGGAGAAACATTTAGGAACAATCATTAATGATACCCTGAAAATACTTGACCATTGTGACGCAGCTGTTTACTGACATCATGTGCTGGCCACATTTGGAAAACATTAGACTGCAACACACAAAATGTTATGCTGACATGGTATAGGTCAAAGATGAAGCCAGTTCTGAAGAGGGGTTTCTGTTTTAATTGCCTTACTCCAAAAGAATTTATACATTAGAAATGGTTCAGATAAGAATGACTAGGATTATTGAATTACATGAACATTATAACACAGGAGATTGTTCAGCTAACCAGTTCTTACTGGTGTTTATTCCCCTCGTAGGAAGTAATACAAAACTCGTCTGTTGCTCTGTTTGTGTATCCCCTTTCTCTCAAATATCTTTCTAAATTCTGAAACTGATTTATTCGGGCAGTCTTACTGCAATTTCATCTTGAATGTTGATTAATTACCCCTACACTGCCCTGGATGTACTGCTGACTGTTATTATGTTTCAGCACTGGGTAGACACAAAGAACGGTGCAGGTAAATGAAAATGTTTTCATTTTTGGCAGTCATTTTTATCCAATTACAGTCAAATCCTTATCAACCAAGGTCATTTTCCACAAATGGGCTTGTCCGCCTTAAGATCACACAATCCTTGCGTAAGTTTCGTAAACCTCACTAGACTCTGCGAGATCCTAAAGATGGGGACACCTTCTACTATGTCTAGTAAGTGGCAACGTACAGAGGCCACCTTTTGCAAGCTCCAAAACTGGACAGTTATCTGGACTAGGGAGTGTAGAGTGTAGAATTGCAGTTTATCCAGTTCCTGTTTTACAAGCTAATACAAAATGTAATAATGCATTATATTTTGTTTAGAAATTATTTATTACAATGAACACCAGTCCTATTCATAATTTCAGGAGTGTGAAGGACCTACACATTAAGCTTAGCTTTCACATAATCCCGAATTACTACTGGGTGGAGCACTTTATTCACTTTATAGAGGAGTTGTTTAGTACATCGCTGAAACTACCATTTTATCTAAAACTCGTCAGTTGTGATACAATATGTCCCTAACCTACATAGCCCTACAAATCTAAGGTGAGTGAAGCTAGCGAGCTGCCTCTTTCTGCCTGCTTTGGTGGGATGTCAGTCAGGCCCAGTCATTGTAAATTCTCACGTTTTGCTACTTGGGCTTTAAGCTCTTTTCTGGTTAGCATTGGTAACACCAACATTACCTGGTAGTTTGCTTGTCCCCTTTGCATCAAGATCACAAATCAATATTCAATAAGGTGAGCTACTACACTATTTTCTTCTCTGGTTGGCAACAGAGTTAGTTTGAAAAGGTATAACAATTCGACCTATCTCAAGGCTTCCCAAGAGCTCATTGGTTACACCTGTGTTGCCACTTTGAGCTTGTTTACTATTTCCTTTACAACATCAATATCCAGCTTGCCTGGTACTGTATTATGAAACTTCCCTGTTGTCATTCTGCACTGAGTTGTCCCTAAATTGTCTGAATTTCCTTTATTACATTGCAATTGGGCTTTATACCTGTACAATGCTCTTTCTGATCTCACTGGTGTATCTAATTATCCAATGTTGTATATACTTAAATATTGCTGGTGGTGTATTTTGCTAGTCTGCCTGTATGATTCTGTTTCAAACACACCGAGTGATTTTCTTTTTTGCATTGTGTGCATTTGTAAAAATCATGGAGACATTTAAATATCGTAAGACCATGAGATATGGGAGCAAAATTAGGCCATTTGGCCCATCGAGTCTGTACCACCATTCTATCATGATGCATGATAAGCTTTTATTCCTCAATCTCCAGAACAAACATCTTGCTAAAGAAATGGTTCCCATAGCTTCTACATGCAGTATAGCAGCCTCAGTTCACTGGTTGCAGACTTGTCTTCAAATTAGCAATTTGTGAGTTCAACCACTTCGCAGATGAGCACTTATTCTGACCTGAGATGTCAGTGCAATCCTGAGAGGGAGACACACTGCTGTACAGTGGAAAGGTCTGTCTTTTGGATGAAGTATTAAACAGAAGCATCGGTTGCCCCTCCTAAAATGAATATAAATTATCCCATGACAGATAATTATATGTAAAAGAATAGGAGATGTATCAGGCCAACATCTCTCAATCAACTCCCTAAAAAGTGGAAATTCCAGTTGTTTATCTCATTGCAGTTTGTGGGATTTTGCTGTAAGCAACCTGACTGCATTGTTTTTGTTTTGCTAATGTAACCATGAGGACTACATTTCTAAGGTACTTGAGTGGTCTTGAAGTGTTTTGGAATGTCCTGAGGATGTAAGGTTCATACAAATAGAGGTTTGCTCTTTTTTTAACAGGGAATATCTGTGATACGTCTAAAGCAGTATGGATACATAAATATGGACTGGAGGCTGATTATTCAGCAGCTATTCCATAATTGGGCTGCATGTTTAGATACAATATTGTATCTGGAGATCTCTGCTTTAACAATGATAAGAATTTCTGCAGGCTGTAGACATCTGAGCAGGTGCAGCAGACAGTAAAGATTGAATGTTGGCCTTCATAGTGGGAAGATTCAAGTACAGGAACAATGATGTCTTACTGCAATTATACATTGGTGAGGCCACACCTGGAATTTTGTGCGCAGTTTTAGTCTCCATGTCAGTGTTCTTGCTGTAGAGGGAATGCAGTGAAGGTTTACCAAATTAATTCCTGGGATGGCAGGACTGACATACGAGAAGAGATTGAGTCAGTTAGGATTGTATTCACTGGAGTTTTGAAGAATGAGGGGGGTTATCAAAGAAACCTATAAAATTCTAATAGGACTGGACAGGTTAGATGCAGAAAGGATGTTCGAGATGGTGGGGGGAGTCCAGAACCGGGGGTCATAGTTTAAGGATAAAGGGCTTTTTAGGACTGAAATGAGGAGAAATTTCTTCACCCACAGAATGGTAAGAAAGTGGTTGAGGCCAAAACACTGTGTTTTTCAAGAAGGAAATATATATAGCTCTTGTAGCTAAAATGATCAGGGATATGAGGGGGGAGAGTGGGATTAGGGTATTGATCAGTCATCATCATATTTTATGGTGGAGCAGGCTTGAGGGTTGAATGGCCTACATCCGCACCTATTTCCTATGTCTCTGAGTTCTGCACAATGCATAATCCAGCAGGAACCGTTGAATAACGATTGTGAGTGGGAAGTGATTTATCCTCCTCAACCTGGGGCTAAACGTAGCACCACATCAACTGCTCTAATCTAACACTTAAAGGATTAATCCTGGCACATGCTAGGCTTCCCTTGCTCAACACCATGCAGGTGGATCATTGCTGGCAATGGCTTATTGAGTCAAAGGGGGTGGGTGTCTTTGTACTGCGTTTAAGTGTAACAAACAAAATCTCACTGCAGTAAAGTCCATCTGAAGGAGCTGAGAACATCGCATAATTCATCCTTTCATCGTTGGAAACAGCATCGTACAGACGTTACATTGTTTATTAAACATTGGTACTATTCATCTGTCAGTCATGTCATCTCACTGCCTGTGTGTGAATTACACAGTGAGTACCAAACAGTAAAACATTTTAATTTCCAAACAAGCCAAACTTAACTCTTTAGGACAACAATATGAGAATTCCTTTTGATTAAAGGCAAAAAGGGGCATTCCAGCTTAACGAGAATGTGAGTGACATGCAAGGGAAGCATATAGGCTCAGTGAGATGCAGTGGAATGGGAATAAGACTGAAAGGCCACTGAAAGAGTCAACAATGAGAACAGTAGTAGGACAACATCAAAGATGTGGACTAATAGTAAAAGTACACAGTAACAAAAATGCTTTGCTCAGACACCAAAATTATGATGCTCTATATATATTGGAAGAAAAGGAAGTGGTAGTAGCTGAATAACATAAAAATATCACATTGCAGGCCGAAACTCCAGGTCCTGATTAATACACCACAAAGCTTCGCTTCAAAGAGGTTTGTTGGACACTACTACCAAATTCTATTTCATAGTAACAATAATAGGGCAGTTTGCTCGCTGCTCCAACTTAACTTTTCATAAGAATTTTAAAAAGACAATAGTTTCATCTTCAGCTCCTAATATCTATCCATCAGCCTAGCAGCTCATTCTGATCATTAATATAATCGCCCCCTTCCAGCTCCTACCCCATCTCTTCTTCAGCCTAAATGCTTGTTCTTCCCACCCTCCCACACAGGCTTATCAAGAAGAGGATCAATCTTGACAGGTGGAAGCCCATCGATCAGCCTTCCACATCTTTCAATGGTGGAGCAGTCTGGGACAAGGGAACAAAACCTTAACGTTACAGCCAGACCATTCAGGAGAGAAGTTAAAATATACTTCTTCACGTGAAGGGACACAGAAATGTGGAACTCTCTCCCACAAAAAGTTTTTAGCTTTGTTAATAATTTATTCTGAGGTTGTCTGGCTAAAATCCATCAATAATATAAATGGATATGGAGGCACAATAAGTAGATGGAGTTGAGATATAAATCATCAGGGATTTAATTGAATAGCAGACCTCGTTGTACGGAGAAATTTGAGGGGCTGAATGGCCTATTTCTGTTCTTATGTCCATATGTTCCCTCATCCCAGCTGCCAATCCCAGTAAGAAGAATTGCTGAGGTTCTTGCTGTTAATTTTGAACACCATACAGCTGCTTCAAAATTTGTATTTTAAGGAAACTCACATGGTGGCAGATCACAATATCACAGTTTCTTGCCACAACAGCACGAAACAAAGCTCAGCACTCTTTAGAAGCAGAATCTTTAGGTACAATGCATTGAGGAGGGGGCTGACCCATGGGATTTTCTCACAACAGGTCAGTGTGAAGTAGTTATACATTAATTTGCCTTCCTTCAGAATGTGAAAGTAAGAACGTTCAGCACAGAGAATCAGAGCTCTGAGAGGTGACATCTTTCACAAAATCCAGAAAACTCACTTCACGGGGTGTCTCATTCTGGCTGACCAGCACCTAGTTTCTGATTTCACCTCGGTGCTTGCTACTGCTTTGTCACCTGGTATTTGCCTTTTGTGTGCCAATCCTCAGCCAAGCAACCAGCAAAGCAGAAGAAGGCAGTCAGAATCATTCCATAAACCTGGAATGACAACAGAAATGCAGGAATTAATACCAATAATTAGCAATGAGATTGTTAAAAAGAAGTCTTGAGTTCCATTCTATTTCTTTTTTACTTCCTAACCTCTTAATTGTTAACTCCTGTACTTGGTATTAGAATCCTCCATAATGGTGAGCAAATTGCCATTATTTATAAAAACCCTGCTTTGTCCTGTCACTTAAAAATGCATCCCCAATCCCTCAACTGTTTTTTAAAGATTTATTGTTTGGTTTGCATTTCTTTCTAATTAGCCCAAAATCGTATTACCTCCCAGTTCATCTGACACATAATTGCCTACCTTTGTCTAAGCCATTTACACATTTATTTTCAATTAACCACCACTCCATGTTCGTGCCTTCTGGAAATGTTGACATTTTGATTTCTGCTCCCAAGTAAAGTGTCTATGTGTATTAAAGATAAAGTCACCATAGTCTTAAGAAACCATAGAGCTGCTCCCTTATTAGAGAGAAATGACTGGTGGTGATTTAACCTAAGGGTCTCCACACCTTAGGCAAGGGGGTGGTTGAGACGAAGAGTCTGTCATGGTAACTTCAGCTGGTGTGGAAATTGAACTCATGCCTGTTGGCCTCACTCTGCATTGCAAAGCAGCCTCCCTGCCTGTGTATATTGCACAAAATTTGGCTCAAGGATTCCACCGTTCATTCCATCATGTCCATGCCAGAAATGTAAAAGCAAGAAGTGTAAATTTACAAATACTGGCATCTAGGGAATATCAGAGTTTACACAATCTGTTTTCTGTCCTTTAGTCAGTTTGCTGCCTTTGCTGGCAGTGACTGCCTTCATTTTAAACATGCTATCTATGTGATACTTTATTAAAACAACTAGCTCACGTCCTCAAATCCTCTGTTCTGCTGATCAATGGGCACTCAGATCCTGGACCCAGTACACTGGTATGCATACAGTGTGCTGTCAAGATGCTTTGCTGTTTCCTAACAATATGAGTTTTCCAACCAGCCTCTAGATAGGCTTACATGATGGTGAAAAGAAGTACTTACTGTAAATAAATATGTGCACAGTAAAACTGCTTTGGCATACACAGATCAGTGTACCATGGTTCAGGGTCCCTGTGCCTACAGTCACTTTGTGATAACCAAGGTCATCAATGATAAATTATAATTGTGAAGATGTCAGCAAATCAAGCATGGTTCACCATTAAATCAGATCATGGCTGAAATGGATCAGAGCAGTAACAATATATTTGGCTGAAACTCTAAAATAAGTTATTGAGGGTATTATTTAAGTAACAGCAACATTATGTTAAATGTTGTGATGCTTTAACAGCCTGAGCTGGCAAACAATGTAAAAACTATAGGAAGCAGCTGATATATAATAGGTCTACCCATGAAACCAAAAGATGATGGAAAGAATGATATTGCTGAGCAAAGACTTTGCCAATGTCATTTGTTCAGTTGTAAAGTGAACAGGCAGCCATCACACAGGTTCTGCAGTGAAGTAATGGGTGGTTTACATGGCATTTATGGATGTACTACATTGCTGCTCAGCAGATAGGCGGCAACTAGCTGACATAAGACATTGATTCTAATACCATCTGTTGCCACACAAATGATATAATTTTCTTTGCAGTGTTTGCTGGGCAGTATGGTACCTCTTAAAAACACTAAATATTTTCCCTGTTAACGAGGAAGCTTCGAGGTCACTCAGTTTATTAAAGATGGAGCAGTGATTGTTAGCCTTCAGGAATAGAAAATCTGTATGGGAAATAGTAGCCAGCACCTACAGCATATTTGGACATGGGTTATGAGGGTGATTTATAAATCTGCCATTGACTTTAACAGGGAGGTAAAATCATGTAGGTTGAAAACGGTTGATCAATCCACTATCAACCTTTTAAAGCCATTCAGAAATGAAAATTCTGGAGGTTCTTATTCTTCCCAGTGGCTTCCCACAGGTCATGTCGAGTTTATATTTTTCACTTTACTCCATTAAGAATGATACTTAGTCTTCACAGATGATAATAGTCATTAGCATGTATTATCCTGCACATCAGTAGTAACACTTGACGATAACCCATTTTTCTTCAAACTGATATTGCAATGTAGCCCCCGATTGACCTTACCGTCACAGTTCCCACCAATAGTGTCAGTGCTTCAATGATAATCATGAGGCTAGTGATCCGATTCTCCACTGCCTGAAGGCAATCCTAATGGACAGAACACATAGTTATAAAACTCACACCTGAAAGCAGAAGCAATGCCTTCATTCTCAATTTTTATCAATACGTTTCTGCACCAACGAGCTGACCTTACCAGATTAGATTAGTTTGGCTTTTTGTATGAACTTTCTGGTGGTCTCGGTGGGACTCTCACTAGATGGTGGAGGGAGTGGAGCTGCATGGTTAGATGGCAAAAGCCAAAAAGTGTTGCAGTTTACCTGCTGTAATTTGGGCATTTTTTTCAGCATGGAGAGTGGAGAACTGGGTAGAATCAGAGAGGAGCAAAGGGATTATGGGCACAAGAGAGGGGGGTGCAGAACAGAAAAGTCCAAATTTTATTTTGGGTGCAATCACAGCTGCCGTTCTGGGAAGGCTCCTCATCTCATTTGTGCTCATCACACCCACTGTTGCACTTGGAACCTATAGGTCTAGCATTTCCATGTTCAGTTCTCCAGTTTTCCCTGGGATTTTGAGCATCCACCATTATGTTAACAGAATTTTGTGAATTTAAATTCCACTTAATGATCTGAACTGATTATCTAGGTTAATGTATCGATGCACTACCGAGGGAGTACTTTATTCCAAAAGATGCCATCCTTTATGTGAGATATTAAACATAAGATAACCAAACCTGTCTGATAGTGATCTGGTAACACTGTGCAGAGAAGTATGCGTTCAGTAATGTGAGCAACTATGTCCCTCAGTCATCATCATCAAAAAAGTTTTTAATTTCATTATTGTTTGTGTGATTCTGACTATGTGTAGAATGGCTGACAAGTTTGACTGCACAACAATGTCACTGCAGATCCAATTTATGAACTAGCAATAGGCCACTTTGCCCTTTGAGCCTGCTCCACCAGAGCTCCAACAATTGCTCAGGTATAAATATAATTGCTTGGTAATACAGAAGTTGAACATCTCTAAAAGGAGACAAGAAGTCTAAGCTCTTCGTCTTCCACTCATCGAGGGTATGATGCAAAACTTGACAAAAGGGACTGCATTTATATATCATGGACATCAGTACCCTCTTCTCATGCTGTATAAATTGGTATCTCTTTCTTCAACCAAAAACAGAAAGTGCTGGAGAAACTCAGCAGCATCTGTGGAGAGAAAAACAGAGTTAATATTTTGAGTCCAGTGACATATAATTAGACTCGTCTGATCCGTCAGGCCAGATTTCAGTCTGGGATCTGACTTGTCCAGTAATAACATCGGCTGAGACAAAAACACTGTCCCTTCTTGTCACTGTCTATTATTTCCCACATGAATACCTTTTTCTATCAGCTTGTTTCTAGCCTTTGATTACAATATTGTCCTAAGTTTTATCCCTTCCCCCTACTATTTAGTTTTGCCTTCTTCCCTGGTTATTCAGCTCATTAGAATGTTATTTCAGAGATATAATAGATACCAAGACTCCTAAGGTTAATTTAGGACTAAGCCCTAACCACTGGAGTAAGTGTATGCTTGATCCTGATATTTTTTGGCAGTTTTTGGAGGAGATGGAAGGATGTGATTTTGGTGTGGGTTAAAACTTCCTCTTGCCAATGATAAGTTGTGGGGTGGGGGACTTGTAGTGTGTGTTCTTGGTTCCTTATCATCAGTGGGGCCTAGCATTAAACTGGAGGTGGGTAATGCTTAATGAGATTCAGATGAGTGCAAGAAAAGGTGGGGAACTAGAGGATGGGAGTTAGTATAGGACAGAGAAGATATGGCAACCAAAATAAAGCTAAACTTAAACATATTTTTCTATATATGGTACCATGTAAAAGGGTTAAGGATTACAAAAATAAGTTCTCTTGGGGAAGACAAGAGTTCCCAGCCTATGTGGGCAGCCACATACCTGACATTTGTGTACAGTGTTGCAACTCAACTCATGTCCCTATAGCTGTGTCTAATCCTGAACATGGTCCCTATAGATATATGTAATCCTGCACATGGTCCCTATAGCTGTCTGTAATCCTGGACATGGCCCCTGTAGCTGTCTGTAATCCTGGACATGGTCCCCATAGCTGCCTGTAATCCTGGACATCTTCTCTATAGCTGTCTGTAGTTGTGTTCATGGTCCTTGCGACTGTTTGTAATCTTGTTTATTGTCCCTATAACTGACTGTAATCCTAGATATGGTCCCTATAGCTATCTATAGTCTTGGACCTGGTCTCTAAGCTGTCTGTAATCCTTGATATGGTCCCTATAGCTGTATGTAATCATGGACAAAATCCTTAACACTCTCTTTAGTTATAGTTCGTGCCATACCTTTAGATGAGTACCTTCTGCAAAGCATGTTTCATTCTCCACACTACTGTAGTGACTAAATGTTGAGTTCTTTCCACAGCAAAGAAACTATGAGAGAATAAAAAAGGATTGTTTAATTAGCTATGCCTCATGACAAAATACTACAGATTTGGTAGTCCTGAGATTTGTGCAGCATATGAATTCAGAAATTTGATTAAATCCCATGGTAAAAGTGAGGCTTCATAATTCCTAATGATTCAGGTTTGAGTAACTTCTGACTGTGTACAATTTCATTGATACATTTCTAAACTTTTATTCCGTGCTTTAGAATTGAAAGTTTGAAAGCATTCGGTTTTTTTCCCCTTAATTTCCTCACTTTTCTTTTCTCTGATCCTGGAAGCTCTGACTTTGTTGTTGTCATTGTCTGTGCATTGGTACCTCTTCTCGGTCTTCATATATAAACATAGAGAATGAGTAAGATATTCATATATTGAAAGCATCACAGCCAGACATAGTTACTTCATGCTTCAACACCCACACACCACATACATTTGAATTATAGTCAATTCTTTCCTAATCTAGGGCACTAGTACCAACTCTGCTATTCCAACTATGTTCTTAATTGGATCTCCTTACTCAGCAGTGTCCAGGGATAGAGCCTGGAGTTTCTGGCATCTATGTCTTTATACCATATAGAGCAGTGCATTTACCAACAAAGCCATCTCAAATGCTTGTATAAAATCTGAAATTGCAAAGTCCTGGTGGTCATGTGGGCCATTCTATTTGAAAAGCAAAGGTCAGGATTTAGGGAATGTGTGTGCATGCGCCCCAGGATCCATGTGCCACAACTTACAATTAATAAAACAACGCAACAGAAAATGATTATGCTGCTTAGCAGCAACTTTCTTGCAAAACAGTTATGTTAATGAGGTGCTATAGGAAAGGAATGGTAACTTACTGCCAATTCACTGGTTTGCTGAATTTGGATCCTTGAAGCTAGTTACACCATTCATAGTTCAATAAAAATGTGTATTTGTCTTTTTCAGGAAAAGGCTTTCAGCTTATTGAAATTGTTCCTTTTGCTGGAGAGGTGCCAATTTTGCACTTCAGCATCCCTTGTTTACTGCACTTGCCAACAGTGTTGATGATTTCAATAAATGAACTTACAGTAAACAACATGCTACAGACAGTAATTCCGCTGAAGGGATAATAGTGCACTCCATGACTTAGAGAAAGAAGGGAGTTATTCTGTCAGGTACCTCTCATTGATTCTGAGGCTGTATTCACAGACCAAGGCGCTCCTAGTTGGTCATCTCAGAGACCTGTTTTTGCCACTAAGGTGTCACTGAATGAGAGAAATGTGTTGCAAATTATTATATCCCTTTGCTCTGAAGGCTAACACAACATTGAGATTTACGAGGAGATAGTAAGAACTGCAGATGCTGGAGTCTGAGATAATACAGTGTGAACCTGGAGGAACACAGCAGGCCAGGCAGCATCAGAGGAGCAGGAAAGTTGACCTTTCGGGTTGGGGCCCTTCTTCAGAAAATTTTCCTGGCCTGCTGTTCCTCCAGCTCCACGCTGTGTTATCTATTAAGATTTATGACACTGATTCACTCTGAATCACTGCAGCTGTATAGGGCAAATGATATCCATTTACCCAGAATAGCGGGCTTAGTTGTGGGCTTCAGAAATGCTTCCATTAAGTCTATGGCCATCACAACTAGAAAGAATTTCCACCCCATTAATGTTTGAGTCGTGTCTAACCACAGACAACTTTGAACGCAACCTAAAAATACTCTGCACTAACCATCCATATTGTCCTCATTATGCAATAGTCTGCCTCTTTATTTGGAGGGATGGATTAGAGGAAATTATAACCCTATCTGCCTGACATACAACCCAATTTCTCAGGGCATTTCCATTATTTTCTATTTTATCCAGATCTCCTGAGCAGGCTGCAAACACTTTTGAGATTCTTCTTTACATAACGAGATTAGGGTCCAATCACATAATTAGGTTTCAACTCCCACTATTACGGTGGGAATTTCAAATTGGCATAAGGTAATATGGATTAGTGAGATAAATGTGTGGCTCAAAGACAGTTGTGGGAGAAATGGGTTCTGGTTTGTGGTGCATGAGCACCGGGCCTAGGGCAAGTGTGATCCAGACTAATGGGACAGTCTGCACCTGAACCGTACTGGTACCATGTTCCTGTCTACTAGATAACTAGGGAAGTAGAGATCATTTTAAACTAAGACTCTCAAAAGTCACAAACAAAAACAGAAATTGCTGGAAAAGCTCAGCAGGTCTGGCAGCATCTGTGGAGAGAAATTAAAGTTAACATTTTGGGTCCAGTGACCCTTCCTCAGAACTCAGAACTCTCAAAGTCAGATGGGCAAAGTTCATCTGGATGAGGAGTTCATATAATGTTTTCAGGATCATTTCTTATATATGCTCTGGAGCCAACCAGAGAGCAGGCTATACCCGACCTGGTACTGTGCGGTGAGATAGGATGGATTAAGAGTGCCTGCTGACACCCACGATCTGATGATAAAATCCAACTGCACATACCCACCTCTGATTTTGTTTTTAATGCACAATATAAAGTCAATTTTCAATTGGTTTTTAAAAACTACTTTATTTAAGGTTTTTAAAAAATTTTCACCTTTATATGTTTTCTGTATATTCTTTTAATTTTTAAAGGTTTATTAGTTTTTCTATCATTCTTCATTTCAATTTATTTCTGAGATTTCTCTGTTATTATCCCTGTTTCTTCATGTCATCAAACATAGCCATAGATTAATGATCTCTTGGTGAAGGGGCCCTAGGCAGCAGCAACCATAATATTGATGAATGTTACATTCAGTCTGAGGGAGAGAAGAGTAGGTCTGAGACTTTGTAAAAAAAAACTTAAATAAGGAGGTTATAAGCACTTGAAAACAGAGCTGGCTAAAGAGAATTGGCAAACTATGTTAAAGAATAGTTGGATAGAGATGTAGTGGCAAACATTTAAGGTGATTTTTCAAAATATGCGGAATAGTTATATTCCAGTGAAAAAATTCCAAGGGGCAGACTCACAATCTGTGGTTAATTACAAATGTTAAGGACAGTATAAAACAAAAAGAATAATTGTCAGATAATTGGGCAGGATGTAAAAATTGCAAAGAAAGAGAGAAAATAAGAGTACAAGAGAAAACTTGCCAGTAAAATAATAAGATAAGAGTTTCTATAAATGTTTGGATGACTCCTAGGCTGTTTAGTTTTCTCATGCTGCTGATTCGTGCAAAGTTAAGAGAGAAAAATAGATGGCATCCACATTGCCATCCAGGATCATACTTTCAAGCAAACTATTTGACTGAATAGAAAGAAACCCTCTCCCTTAGTTGTCAAATAGAATGTGACAATTACGAAGAATCCTAACAAATTTTCACTGTTGCCTCAAAACATTTGTCACAGTGACCTCCTCTAGCCAGCTCTAATTACTTGTTATGGGTGTCTCCCGGTAGATGCAACTTCCATGTTTATGTTGCATTCTCAGGGAGGAACTGTGAAAAAAGCCACAAGACACAATCTTTGTGCATCTGGCCAATATGTCATCTTGAGACAGCCAACTGTTGCTCTCGACATGTACTTTCGTCAGAATCTACTTGCATGCTGCATTGGCATACAGAGACAGAGGGTGGAATTTGAAATGTTTGATCCTAGAGTACAACATAGATGCCATCTATTTCTCCCTTAGCTTTGCAGAGATCATGAGAGATATGAACAGCCCCAGAAGTCATCCAAAATGACTGAACTCCCAGCTTCAAAAATGTCACTGACTGCATATGCAGGAGAACACAGCTCTGAATAACCCTCCAAAAATCTCTAGTTACAGCTTAGAAGTTGATTGAGATAGTGAAGTTGAGTTGCTCTGACAGCTATGGAACAAACATTTCAACTGAAAGTTGCAAAATGCACCCAGAATTTCACAGTGAAGGTAGCATCTCATTCAGTGTCTTGTAAGATATGTGCCACTTATAAACAGATATTGATGGCTGTTGTTAATATCTGGTTTTCCTGTAGTTTTATATGCTTACTGTTTTACTCTTCATTGCTCTACTTTGCTCTCCACTGTTATTAAGAAGGCAATAACGGAATGAAAATAGGGAAACATATACTGCTCAATAATATCCTTCTATGAGCAGCATTAAAAATATGTTCATGGCCAGATAGGCTCTCATTTTGACAGTTGTGAACTGGCAATTTATAGTTTCCACAACAGAGAAAAAGGCCAAAGATACAGCTGAGTATGAAGTGAAAGTATTCCAAGTACCCATCGGATCTCTAAATGGTTCAGTTCAGCCAGTGTGCCCAGTTCCTTATGCAAGATTTATTTATGTGTGTTGTAACTTGGAAGAAATGATATTTAATGGGGCACAGGTGCCAGGAATTCCTCAACTCATGCTCCCTGTTTTTGAATTATTGGCAATTTCTGATGCTGTGTTAGCATTCTGCATTAGTATGAATGCTTGTCACTGTTAAATCACCCAATAGCTACTAAGCATGAGCCTAAACAATGTGTGTTGGCAGGGTGAATCCAATTTCAAAATATGCACCGAGGCCTTTGCTAAATCAGCACTGACCAGGACTTTATTCTGAGCTGCCCTTTAAGGCCTTAACATTCTGAAAAAAAATAGCTCACATTTTGCAGTGGTGATGCAACCTCTGGAATCTGCACATGTGCAGTGAAGTCTCTAGAGATGACAGCAATGTTCCACACAGGGTGTAGTATTGAAACACCCTGCCCACTGATGGCAATCAAGTAAATCCCTGAATTGAAGAAAAGTTACCTTTTTGTACCGATATTCCTTCTGCATAAGTTACACCATGTTGCATGAGGTGTAACTGGTCTTTAACAATGTAGTAACTGCATAAATACTTATAAAACATCTCTGGCCTTAGAAAGTCACTTCTTTATTTGTAGAATGTCAAATTTCTCCACGATGATACATTTTTAAAACACAAATATTTTAAGATTTTGTCCACAATATTTCAGATTCCAGCTTAACCCCATTTCTCAATCATCTATTTAACTTTCTATAAAATTCTACATTAAAATTGAAAAACCCTGTGTGGTTTTCTGTATTTCTCTCCCTGTTTCTTCTTGCGTAAGGAACTGGATGGACATACTGGCTGAACTGAACCATTTAGAGATCCGATGGGTACTTGGAACACTTTCACTTCATACTCACCTGTATCTTTGGCCTTTTTCTCTGTTGTGGACAGAGGGTCAACAGCCAGCATTGATACTGGACATCTGTATATTCCCTTGACTTGGTTCCAGATTCAAATTGACATTTGAAAAGGAGAAATTCACATCTGAGAGAGCACTAGATCTTTACAGGCAGTTTTCTTTGGTTCCACATGTATGTTGACCAGGCCCAACTGTACCTCAGTATCACCACTCTCAACCTTTTCATTGTATCTCATTTGTTGCCCATTTGTCCAACGTCAAATGCTGAGTAAACAGAAACTTATTTAAAATAAATAATGTGAAGACCACATCTTTGGTTGCTACCTCAGATGATCCCCTAGTCATCTGCTCCATCCCTTTCCCTGGCAAATGTATGAAGTTGCACCATACCACTTTCAACCTCTATGCCATACCTGACTTTGTAGTGAGCTTCCTATCACATATCTCCTCCATCACCAAGATCTCCTCCTTCCACCATGATGACAACAGTCACCTCTACCCCACCCAAGCTTATCTGATGATGAAACCTCTACCAATGCCTTTGTTACATCTAGACATGATTATTTCTTTATTTTCCAGGCCAGCCTCGCACCTTATACCCTCCACAAACCTGAGCAACTCTAAAGTTTTGTTGCCTGAATCCCAACTTGCACCAAGTCCCATTCACCTATCACCATGTGTTCTAATGTACATTGAATTCCAGTCTAGCAGTCTTCTCATCATATTTCAAACATCTCAGTAGTCTTGCCCTTCTCTATGTATATAACCTCCTCCAGCCCACAACCCTCCCAGATTACAACAAAGTAGCTCAGTGGTTAGCACTGCAGCCTCACAGCACCAACAACCCAGGTTCGATTCCACCCTTGGGAGACTGTCTGTGTGGAGTTTGCACATTCTCCCCGCCTCTGCGTGGGTTTCCTCCAAGTACTCCGGTTTCCTCCTACAGTCCAAAGATGTGTAGGCTAGGTGGATTGGCCATGCTAAATTGCCCATAGTGTTCAGGGATGTGTAAAATAGGGGGATGGGTCCAGGTCAGTGTGGACTTGTTGGGCCGAAGGGCCTGTTTCCACACGGTAAAGATTCTATGATTCTATAATTTTGGCCTCCTGGGCTTTTCTGATTTTAATTCTTCCACTTGCTGAGGTACAGCACTCTAGAATTCCTTCACTAAGTCTTCCCAGTTCTCTACTCTGGCTCCCCCTTAAAATTTGCCTCTTTTAGTCATCTGTCCTTGAATCTCCTTACATAACTTTGTGCCAAATTTTGTTTGATAATAGTACTGAGAAGCACTTTGGGATAGTTGACTGCATCAAAGATGCAGTATAAATGCAAGTCTTCATGTCAGATTTCTGCAATATTTAAATTTTAAAATTTCCAGTCAGTATCTCTAAAACAAACATCTGATGTGACAGTAGAAACAGCTTATGCCGGTACTTACAGTTGAGTGAATGGCTATCAAATCCTGTTTTGAATTAATGGAACTGTTTCTCATGAAATCATCATATAGAAAATCATACACGTCCTTCACTGCACTCTCCACCTGGTGAGATCAATTGTATTCAAATGTTAGCCACCACACAGACTTGTTTGGCAATAATGTGAACATTTAAAAAATATAGCTGTACTTGGTTTTGTTGATATTTCTTCCCCGTCCTCTCCTCCCCGTCCCTTCCCTGGAAATGAGTCATGGAATGTGCCCAAGCGCTCCACCTAATGTGCTCTGAATAGATTTGTTTTTCTGTATTTGAGCACTCACACAGACCAGATGTTCTGTTTAAGTCTCTTCCACAGTTTAAGCACACTTACAAACAACGCCAGTAAAAATAATTATGTTTACTTTTGTCACAACAGCAGCAAACATCTTCGGAGAAGTTGCATCGACTCAGTTTTCAACCTCTCTCCATTCATGTAGACCCCATGTCGGGATGGAGTGAAGAAGGTGCTTTGGCCTTCAGTTCCAAATGAGGAGCCTCCTTTAGTGCACCTCCTGCAGAGGCTCTCTCTGCATCATAAGCGATGCTGCCCATATGTATATTCTCAGTTAATATGAGCAATTAGCTATTTTTAGCCTTTAATGTCAAGTTTGTTGGAATGTCTTGATTTTCCACCTCCCAGCCAACGCTCACTAGGCACTGCTTTCATGCTCTAGTAATCTTTTCCAATTAGGAGTTAGAGGTCTCCATTGGAAGATTTGTCATTACCTGGCCTCTCAGTTGCCAGAGCAGATCCTCCTGTGCCATGGTCAAGCCTAATGCTATTTTTCAAACTTAAATAATCAAAGTTCTGCATTATTACAAAGGAACCTTCGTCGAGAATAACACAGTAATTACCCTGAAAAACAGGATAAAGTGCTTGCTTCATTTTGCTGATTATGAAAAGAAATTGCTGAATGTAATACCCACTTCCTAACAACACTGTGGGTCTACCTACGCCTTCAGGACTGTGATAGTCGTGTTTGTAAGACACATTGCCGCTTTCTCAGAGGAAGGAATAGGCAACAATTGCTGGTTTAATCAGCGATACCTGCATCCTGTGAAAGAAACACAAAAATTGTACAGAGGAAGCAAGGCCCATACTGTGTTGAACAGAAGGGAATCCTCTTCAAAAGTAGATAGTCTAATGAGAAAGGTGGAACAGAAAGGCTTAGCTACATTTTCCAGTCTTACACTAGGGAACTTCCCTTCTTTACATTGCACAAATCTTGAACAGATCTTCTGAAAGCATCCATCATATTTTCTTTAAACTTGACTCACAGCTGGGTTTGAATCTGTCACTAGAATTAACTAATAGAAAAGTTAGTAAAACAAAGTGGATGACAAAATAAATGTTTGAGGAGCAAATGATGTCTGGGAGCACAGCACATGGAACCACACTCCAGCTGATGGCCTGTGAAACAGGGAAATGGGAAAAGGTTGACTTATTTGCCTGAGACCATCAGTTCAGTAAGGGTGTTAAGGCTGAAAAAGGTCTCTGTCACTTTCCAGGCTCAAATGACTGCATTCAAATGAGAGCAATATGGGTGCTGCCTGCGAAGCACTTGTAGATTTTGTATGATGCTGTGCTGGTGCTCAGTTATGCACTGATCAGATAGGATCCTTCTCATATTTGCATGGGCCGTTGTGGCTATAGAACTGGATGGAAACATGGGTATCAGCAACCATCCTTTTGCTTTTGAAAGTCAGGAATTGACAGCCTTATTATTTTGTTATTACTATTTGGTGGGAAAGGAAATTAGGTTTCTTTTCTGTTGAGTAAAACATTGGGAACCTAGTGATCCTGCTGATGTCCAGTGCACAAACCTAATGAAACTTTGACATAAAAGCCGGCAGTTGTAGTTAGCTAAATGACCAGTTGGTGCCATGTTATGTTGCATGTTGTCTGCAGGTCCTTCTAAAGCAGATGTAATAGCTCTGGGCGCAGTGAACCTCTTTTGTTGCCAAGTAGATGTGTCTGGCCCTTTAACCATAATGCATCTCTAACCAACTGTTCTAGACAGTATAGTTTTTATGCTATCTGGCATCTCCGGTTGACCCTGCTCTGTGGCTCCTTTTACTACACTAGGGAGTACCAAAAGTAAAATTGATTGTGGAGAATAACAGCAGTAACACAATATAGTGCAGCTTCCTTCAGAATCCTGACATTCAAGGAGCTGACTCAGTTACAATGACTGTTTCCTGCGAGTTGTAGGAGCATGTTGCACATGCACTGCAGGAAGACCGGAATTTCATAGTCCGGATTCCTAAAAAACAATGACTTGTCCAAAAACACCTTATAGTCAATGAAACTCATTTAAAGTGTTGTAATAATGTAATGTAGGATTAATTATTCAATGAGCAAAACAGCCTAATCATTTCATTACAATACTGCACAGCTTTCTCAAACCTTACATGGGAATTGCACTTTCTTAACTCTGCTGTCCTCCTTTTGGAATCATTCTCTAATCTTATTGCAATTTCAAAGCTCTATTCCTGCTGTTAATTTTATGCAGGCTCCGGTCCCATGTTCACATCTATATAGATACCCTGCATTGATCAACATCATCCAGGTTTCTCAACATTTTTATTTCTGCATTGAAATCAAGAGCAGTTAAGTGACTCTGTCCTCAGAAGTTAGAACTTGTACATAGAATCGCCTCGTTGCTCCTCCAGCAATAGAGGCTAGGATTGGGATATCAGTAGTGGTTCCAGATTAGATGTCACTCACTAGGTTAGCAATATTAATCCTGGATTTAGACTGATCTCAGTTGTAAGATTTGTAATGAATTTAGATGTGTATGGTTAGTAGACCAGCACATATATGCACTAGTACATGAATGTCGATCAGAAGGGCTATTAATCCTGGTCCAAGCCAACTCGTGTATCATTAATACTCCTGAATGTGTGCATGTTTTAATTACTAGAATATCAGTACCAACCCTGGAGCTATAATGCAGTGACTGATCCTGGACATACACTTGTATCAATATTGGGATTGTCTGGTGTTACTTGGATGTGTACAGAGATCAATAATTGGCGTATTAATGCTGTGATGCACTGGTATTGATATCAGTAGCAGAAAGTTTCAGTATTGATTCTGCACCTGCATTAGGACAACCACCTTCAAACATTTGGCAGTTTTGGTTGATGTCCCCAGCATCTCAGATATCAGTCTTCAACTAATTTGATTCACTCCACATGATACAGAAAAAGTGGCTGGAGGCACTGAATACTGGAAGAATTTGGCCCTGGCAACATTTTAGCAGTGGCAATAAAGACTTGTGTTCCAGAGCTAACTGCGCCCCAAACCGAGCTGTTCCAATACAGCTAAATGCTCAACTGGAGAGGTGAGATGAGAGTGAGTGGTCTTGTCATCAAGGCTTCATTTAACCAAGTAAGGCATCAAAGAGCTCCAGCAAAATCGGAGTCGATGGGAATTGAGTGAAAATTCTCCACTAGGTTAAAGTCATACTGAGCCCAAAAGTGGTTGTTCAAGGTCAATCATCTCAGCTCCAGGACATCACTACACGAGTTCCTCAGAATAACGATCAGCTGCTGCATAAATAATAAGTGTCAAGGTCCCTTACCTCTGTCATCTTGCTGACGGTGCTGACCATCACTGGCTACAGTAATAAAATACAGGTCCATGTGTATGTCCAGCAGACACTAAGGGTGCTGCACTTGGCTCTCTATAACAGCCATCATGCTGTCCATGAAGACAGCCAGACGCTTACACGTCAGAGGCAGTACAAAAAGAGTTAGTGAAGTCCTCCACCTTTAAGTCAGTGCCCAGTGCCCACAACAAGTTTGCCTGTTGCTCCAAGTTGATAATTGTTAACATCATGTGTCCTTTCCTGCCTGGGGCTGAATGGTGCCTGGTAAAATGGTGTCTGGCAGGTTTCCGTGTGTAAGCAACCTGGGATGTTCCTTCCTTGGCCAACAGTATAGCTGGCATAGTGAGGCGCTCACCAGATTGTGCTCCCTAATCTAGTCTAGCAAATTTCCATAGGAGCTGTACGTATCTGGACCGGTGGAGGTTGGAGGAAGCTGCTTTGCCAGTGCTTCCTCGGAGGGGTCTGAGGGTCCTTCCGCAGAGGAGAAGGAGGAGATGCCTTGCGGGGCCAGTCTCTTCAGGGCAGAGACAATGCATGTTCCATCAGTGTTTACTGGAGACAAAAGAGAGAATGTATCACAACAAAGAGTAGAAACTCAGGCGTGTTAAGAGTACATTCCTAGTGGCTGTAATGGGAGAACAGCACACCAACGGGCAACGATCCTTACTTAGCAACAATCTCATGAAGTTTTGAGCATCACCAAAGGAATGGTCGTGGTCCTCACCAGCTAGAGAAAGGATTTTCTCACCGGAGAGGGTGAGGAGATGGACATTGGGTGCCATTTCACATAATTAGCTTTTTCAGCTCTAATGTGGGTGGTTTTCTTCTGGAATGAGAGGAAAAGAGAGATTGAGTGAGATGAAAGTGGATGGCCCAGCTGCTGGTACTGGTGTAAGTTGGGGAAAAGTGTTCCGAGAGACTGAGGTGGCAGCACAGAGGGTTAGCAGTGTGGGTGGGCTTAGGTGGGTGAGAGCACGTGAGGGAAGATAGTGCATACAATAATGAGAGGGGTAGAGCATGAGCCCTGGCAAGGAGATGGGTGTGGTAGCAGAGAAAACTCTGTGTGAGGTAGCAGAGAGAAGGGGATGGCACTTACCCTCACACAGCTGCGCGTTCCTCCAGACAACGGGTGGCTGACAGCCCTTAGACCAGGGTCTGGGGATGTGGTTTCCTCTGCCAGGCCTGAAGGAAGAGGATGGCCCTTCTCTTGCACTACTCATCCATCAGGTCCTCCTGTCTGCAAATCTTGGCGGGGGAGGGGATGGGTGGGAAATTTATATTTCCTCTGCTCTCCAGGTTGAGAGCAATTATTCAGATTCAAACAACGTACACAGCAGCATCTGGGCTGACAGCATTCAACCTGATGCAAAGCTGCATTTTAAATATTGTGCTGGCTCCGGAACCCTGGGATGTCCCAACTGCGGGGAATACATTTGCCTGGGATGTCCCGA